AAGAAAAGGACCTGATTTTGTTTGTTGCAAATATACTTAAACGTATATTTAAAAAAAGTAAACTTTAATACGTTACAATAAAAACTATTTTCGTAAAATCGTTCGCAAATACATTTTTGTTTTAGGAGTCTGGTAAAGATCTCGCAAGGAGTTCATTGAAAACGAATGCATTTCTTTCTGAATACTCAAAGGCAGGGGAGAATTTGGTATGAGAAACAATGACTTTGTAAGGTACAATAAGTCTGGGTCTGGACTTGTACTGAATTGAGAACAACCTGAATTAAATGGAATAATATTATTAAACGCCTGGCAACAAGAGCCCTACTGGTTCTCACGAAGCTCCGAAGTCAATTTCTCCGTAGTGACTTGGAACTTCAAATAAAACCCTCTATTTCAGGGTAATCATTCAATATTGACAAAAATTTTTTGTAAATTTGCTACTTGTCTTAATATAAATAACCTTGCCAAATACCTCAAGACTTTAATTAGAAATATATTAATACCATTATACTTATATACTAGTTTTACTGCTATTATAGGAGTTCGTAAATCTCATTCAAAAAATTATTTAAAATAGTTTTTTTCCTACCTATGCTGATAGCCTTGAGAGGCTATTTCAGCTTCTCCTTGACGTGTAGGTGAACTCACGGGGCTAAAACCGGAAGTGTTACTAACACTGGCCCTGGCGAGAGCAGTGCTTCGTAGAATCTACCACCGGATCGGAAACGCGACCCACTGAGAAAATCCGGCGAGAAACTCAATGGGCTTTAAACCAGCGATAATTATTCACTACACACAAGCAGTACCTCTATCCATCGACGACACCAAAAAGATCCGTATTTATTTCACCCACTTATTTTAATAGCAATAAATGACCATTTAAAAATAATAAAATATTTCGCGAAGCAAGAACCAATCAGCCTTATCGTGATCAATTACATCGCTATTCATAAGCTAACTCTTTCAAAAACCTGTCCACCATTATGTACACCGGAAATCGCAGCCTTTATATTTCCCCCAGCAACACGAATCGCCTAGTCTAGATGCAGTCTAAGCAAGCCAGACATTCCTTTGTGATCGTGACCTTAGCTTACTTCAAGTTGAAGGTCCCCTATTGTGCCAATTTAAGGCAACCTTTCGACTAAAGCAAAACGGAACATAAAAAAAATTGTCAATATGTATGTCCATTATAATTAAACAAATTAAATGTAATCTGAAATGTTTAGATGGCATATATGGTTTTGTCGCATAGATTCATGTTGCATGTGTCAAAAAATACGTTCTGTGTTTTCATATGGGATAATACCATAACCTCTTAGGTTTGATACTTCACAATAAATACCATTTAGCCCCACAGTCCCAAGACAGTAAACCATATTCTAATCGACACCAATAACGCTTTTTTACACAACACTCTAAAATTAACTAATGCGCTTTACCTAAATATTCTGATGCGACAATCGATCTTCGGCAGTGATTTTACTTTAATAATTCATAAAAATATTGTAATTTAACTAAAATACATATACTGTTGTTTATATAATAATATGTTTCACAAGTTGCTCAAAGACATTTAATAGCAGCATACGTTTTTGCAATACAATATAGTCTGGAATGGGGAAACCCTCAATAGCTATTTCAAGACGTCTTACATTGAGATAGGTTATAGCTGTAAATTCTTAGATTCTATTCATAGCACAGCTGTTGATTGAATAAAACTTATGAGCAGGTTATTTGTGACTTATTGTATAGATTTGTGAAGAATTTGAAAAGGAATTATGTAAGTTAAATAAATCGTATTGCAGGATTTTCAATGATATCTGAGTAGCGACAAGAACAATTCTAAATACAAAATGAATGGTCACAAGGCAAATTTCAAAACGGATAGGCAAATCTAAGAAAAGGTTTGCCATATAGTAGTTTTAAATCCTAATGTCCAAATAGATTGTCACCTACCCACTATTTAAACGAGAATGTAAAAGAGGATATCCTTTTGTTTTGTGAAACTTAATTAGAAAAAGGTAGGTATATAGAAATAGCTATATAGAAAAATAGCTATATATAGTAGGGAATCGGTAAATGGATTCCACAGCCTTAAAAAAAAGGTATATAAAAATACAAAACTTGAATTAGGAACAACAGCAATTAGTGACATCTTGTAAACAAAATCTTGTTACAATGTAAACAGCTTCATTGTTTTGACACATTCATCCACCTTCACAACCTACTCAATGAAACCCCTTGCCGAAATTGCCCCTCATGAATGAACATGTGGCTCAGCTAAATATAGTTCACTACCAGGTTCCATCTGCCACATGTTTGCAAGATGGTGAGCCTCACCTTACGACGCGATGCCAAAAAACACCGCAGCTACAATTACAGGATACGCAGTATTAGATTTAATTTCTAAATCTCTATGCACATCAACGAATAGCATCTTAGCTGTAAAACAAATTTATATTGATTTACGAGTAAGAAAAAATGCAAAATAGAGACAATGGTTATATGCACGCCTTAAGAAAGTCAGAGGTAAAACTTAAAATGCGCTTTGCTACCTTCGGCTGCACAGGCGTTAGTTTTACAGTTCAAAGTTTCTTCAATATGTGACAATTAATCATTTGAAAATGTATCTATTATTCCAATGATTTGGAGCTCAAGTTTTTATCTTTCAACTTTTCTCTTAGTAGAGTATTTTCCAATATTTTATTTTTAAAACTAAATTCGCCGTGTATAATTAAAATGTATTAAAAAAAACGTAACGGCTTACCTTTATATTTTATCTACAATATAGTGTTGCTACTGATGACCGTTTTAAATTATCATTGAACATGAGGTTCGAAACCATGGTTATTTTAAAAATAAAAGATATTCATACAAAGCTTAGTTAATATTATTTATTTTATTTGACAATCGTCAATGACAGATACAAGAACTACCCTAACGGCAATTACTCCTACTCATCGACACCAAATCAAAAAGATAAGATAAAACAAAATTTCAATGGTATTTTACGTGCTTTCTCATTTACGTGCAATTCAGTTTCATTCATCATTCAGAAGAATTAGCTAGATATTTAGAGATTCTTCATCATCATCATCATCATCATCAGCCTATAGCAGTCCACTGCTACCAATTGCATGCCACTGAGTAGGATCCTCGGCTTTTCTCATACAGATTTTCCCAGGATGAGAGAAGGCGAGGGTTCAGAGATTACTCTTTTGCAAATAAACGCACTGATCACCCCAGCTTACAAATTATTATAAATTACCATTATTAATAACAGTGCAATAATTAATAACAGATAATTATTAATAAAAAACAACTACGCTTTTATACGCATGAAAGATCTTCCACTTTTTTTTGCGTAATTGAATATTTTACTAGCTTAACTTAGTTATTTGTTGACATGTATATTTCAACACATTATTAATTACGTAGACAATATCTTGATACACAATATTTGCAACGAAATAAATAATGTGTGACGTCAGCTGCCGCGACTTTTTCAAGCACTAAAAAAACATCGGTGTTCAAATCCCGTTGGCAGGTACAAATTTTTCCAATGAGATACGTATTTAACAAATGTTCACGATTGGCTTCCACGATGAAGGAATAACATCGTGTAATAAAAATCAAACCCGCATAATTATAATTTGCGTAATTACTGGTGGTAGGACATTTTGTGAGTCCGCACGGGTAGGTAACACCACCCTGCCTATTTCTGCCGTGAAGCAGTAACGCGTATTTGGTTTGAAGGATGGGGCAGCCATTGTACTGTCAAAACTGAGACCTTACAACTCATGTCTCAAGGTAGGTGGCGGCATTTACGTTGTAGATGTATATGAAGTTCAGTAACCACTTAACATCAGGTGGGCCATGAGCTCGTCCGCCCATCTAAGCAACAAAAAAAATTAAAAAAGTTAGTGAAGCTAGTATACAACCCCTCGAGGCTTCTAATGTGGATAGGCCAAAAAAAAGAAAGATGAACCACATTCCAAAAAGCTTACCAGCATACTGTTTGCTACGTCTAGTACAATGACGTTGTTTTCGTATTGTATTCCAGAAACATTTCACACAATAATCCGTTTTACTGCTACTTTCGATTTTACGTCATCTACTGATTTCCGATATATTACGTCACAATATAATTGCAAAATTAAAGCAAAATAGTCTTAAGCCCACTCATCATAAAGCGTAGCTGTTAGTTTTTGTACCCGAACGGATAACAATGGTCATAACTGACGCGTGCCGTTACAATAAAAGGTAGATTGTGCAGCTGACGTGGGCGAACGCACACAAACACACTATAAACAGAAATAAAGATCAATAGATATACTTTATAGGAAACAGATATAACATTGAAATCAGTTATTAAGTGAGCGTACATTTATATGAAACAAGCGTGTACATGTGTGTGTATAACACAATTTTATGTGCACCGCTTTTGAAGAGTTCATAATAATCCTCATTAATAAACTGAATCCTCTTTAATTTATAGTGTTAGGCTAACAATGATCGCGCAATCTCAACAGTACAATTCCGCAAAAAACTTCCATAGTGATGACCGTAGAGCATTTTTAGAGTCCGTACCATAAATTTACTTATCCAAACACTTCGCCAGCAACAAAGATAACACAGTATGAATTTTATATGACATGATTACGATTTTATGATTTTAAAACTGTATCCATGCAGGTATGTCGTGGTAGGGATATCGAGTTAGCGTCGAATACAAAGGCTCCCTGATCCGCCCTTTAGAAAGAGCATGTGTGCAACTAGTAAACGTAAGTACCCCTGTTGATCCCCCCGCGAGTCACCCCAGGTGCGCCCGCGCGGCACGCGCCATTCCTATCGTGACCGGCGCCCTGACGCCACACAAACCTTTCGATATCCTGGATACCGTTATTTTAATCAACTACGAGATACATCGACAAGATACACCGCGACTAATATTAAACAAACAATCGTAACATGTGAAAGTTGCAATTCATTGCGCCGAAATGAGCTCCATCGATATCGTAGTCTTCCGCAACGCGTCAGTCAACAAGGCCCAGATTCTTCAAGAAACCGTGAATAATTCCTTAAACATAACGAACAACGATCCCAATCAAAATGTGAGACGTGAAATTATAGTTTTAAGAAAAAAACAAAGGATCCAACCCGCCGATACCGTGTCTGTGCCTGCACTGATGCGAACCATTGAGCCATCCTCATCAAGCGTGCTAGCGAAAAAAGCAAGATACCGAGAAAATACGAGTTCGGATGAAACTGTGCGTACACCTACACCGTTAGCGGTCGCTCGACGGAATGCGCGGGAACGGAACAGAGTACGTCAAGTGAACGATGGATTTGCGGCTCTCCGGCGACACATACCCGAAGAAGTAGCCGCGGCCTTTGAGACGACTAACTCCAACAGAGGACCGAACAAAAAACTCAGTAAAGTGGAAACATTAAGAATGGCGGTCGAATACATACGGAACTTGGAAAGTTTACTTAACATCGGCCATGCTGACAAAGAAAACACGTCTCGTTCCTGCATGGAATCATTCCCTTCGCCAGCATCATCGTCTCCGAGAGAAAACAGTCAAGAGAGGAGCTATTTCATGATTAGTTCGCCTGCCCTAGAAGAAGAGGAACTAGATGAAGATGAAATAGACGGACTACCTGGCTTACGTCAGCAGCAGTATGTCGACATTGCAGCCTCAGAAAATTTTCACTTAGTGTCTACGCCACATCGGTACGATGAAGAAGAAGGTCAACCTCTTACACCATCATCGGATTTACTGGTTCAAGATGAAGTAAATTCACATATCCTAGACGCACATTTTCAGTTTCCAAATTCCGCCGAACATTTCTCTGTAATACCCGAACAAAATTACCTGAGTGAAACGGAAGTGCCAGTCAGTGAAAGTGATTTTGAAATAAAATACGCGGATTCCCTTAATCAACACATCCAACAAAGCTTTAATGAAAACACTGATATACCTTTTGCTTTGAATCCGGATCTTATTCTTCCCGAAAACCAGTTCAAGTTCAAGGAAAGTGACAATAGTTCTTTCACGGAAAACGAAGATTTTTGTGAAGTTGAATTAAAAAAGGAACTTCCAGATATCCAAGTGACGCCCGAGGACAGAGAACAATTCGAAGAAACTCTCAAATGGTGGCAAGAGAAAACGAGACAAACCCGTCCTACGAAAACTCTTAATAAAAAATAATAAAATTTATGAACAATAATTACGATAGGAAAATGTTGTAGATAAATTTACTTAAAATATTTATTTTAATTGTAATAGAATGAAACATACAGCTGTGTGTACCAAAGTGCAAGGTGTGTTGTAACGGTCAATGTTAAGCGCTTGGCAATTAATGTTAACGCTCCTGTTTACTATAGACTTTGTACATGTTTCAGTTGCGATTTGAATTATGTAGGTAATTCATTGTTTTATCTAAGATCTCTAATCGCTCACTATTATTTATTTATTTAAGTGTCTCCATGAAGTATTGTTTGTATGTAGTTTAATATTATCTCGAATTTAAAGGCACCTAAAAATTTTGTAAATTATTTAGATGTCTCTAATAAAGTGCCTTAGGATAATGTGAAAATTGTGATACATTATTATTATATTACTATGTACATTGGTATGTAATAAATTTTGTAAATTTATAAAACGTTTAATATATTATTACACTCAAAAAGGAATTATAATAACATAAAAATCTCCATTAAATCAGGCCACTAAGGACACTTTTTTGTATTAAACGCCCTTATGGTAATCAGAGCAAATTATTTCGTTTCGAGGGTCTATTTCAATCGACACCGTCAAGCAACGGAGCCCGGTAACACGTATGGACACTTTCACAAAAAAATTAATCAACGATTTAACAGCAGTTAAACATTGATATCAGCAACCAAACTTGTTTTTACCTGATTTATAAACCTATACAATTCGAAAATCTTATAACTTATTAAACCAACAAACATGAAAACCTTTCACATCTAAAATTTCAATTTAAATCGAATATAAACGAAACTTACAGGGTCTATTTAGGTTAATATTTTAACCGGCTGTCATATGCAGCTAGTATTTAAATGTTGAAAACCTGCCCTAGGCCCGGACCGTTAACGGTAAGCCGATAGCGGCATTATGATTGTAATGCGCCACCGTTATCCCAAATAAAAAATGCTTGAATTCAACGGAACCCCAAGTCTTACGGGGTAGGGATTTAGAATTTCATATTTATGAGCTGGATCGTTTCGATATGCTGTTACAGCAAATTTCAGATTTATTTCGTAACTCGTTTTAATAGACAGCCTACAGTTATTAATGCCGTCACTATGAATGTATGTGATGTTGATTTATTGAATTGTACGGTATAAGTACATATACATATAAGTTACTTTAGTACTTACATAAAACATAAACCGCGACAATAAACATACATTTTTTGATGCTCCACTGGTTAAGTCACTCGAAATTTTGGTGTATAATACAAAGAAATGTCAGACTGCTTGGTTCTTAAATTTTTTTTCAGTAACCACATGCACAGCTTAAGGAAGTTGTTTGTAGGAAGAATCTTAACAATTCGAATGTTGGTAAATATAAAATTCACCTATTACTTGCTTCGTTCCGCACGACTCTGCGTTTCCGGGGTGGTAGAAATTCTAATTTCTCCTATAGCATTTTTTTCGGATCGAAATGTTGCCATATTTTAAGGGTCTTACACGCCATTCCAAGTTTCATTTAAATATTTTCCGGTTCATTCGTCAAGCGCTGTTTCTGATGATTAAATTTTTTGAGAAAATTGGGTTCGTTATTGTCGACACAAAACTCCCAAAATACTATTAAACTTTCGATGGAAATAATTTTATCGATCTCCAATTAAGATAATTTATTCGGATTAGTGATTATTTTTTAATATCGATCGATTTAATTACGCTTATCTTCTATCACTTCATTCATACTAAATGATAATAATCTATATCTATACTAATATTATAAAGAGGAAAGATTTGTTTGTTTGTTTGTTTCGAATAGGCTCCGAAACTACTGGACCGATTTGAAAATTTTATTTTTCCATTAGAAGCCGACATTGTCCCTGATGAACATAGGCTACTTTTTTTAAAAAAAATTTTTTTTTTTTTTGTTTCATGTGTGTTTTAATGTTTCCGAAGCGAAGCGAGGGCGGGTCGCTAGTGTTAAAAATAATCAAGTCATTCCATATTCTAATTATAAAGGATTATATCTGAAACATATTAAATGAATGTTTTATAACGATTTAAGGTTTGATGTATTATTAAAAAGATAATGACAATGACAATTGGTATTAGATTACGTACTTCGATCATCAGTTAGGATCAAATTCAGAGGAACACCACTTAGATAATTAATTGTTTTTTAGTTATTTCAAATAAGCTAACAGAAAAAACATAATACTATAAAAATGCTCTTTAACTATTAAATTTATTCTCAATTAAAAAGTTTAAAGCAAAATCATTACGTAAACATAAACAAATGATTTATTTTGGATAATAACGAAAAGAAAAATCTTTGCTCATTGAAAACTTTCGAAGACAGTAGATTATGTTTCAAATCCTTTTTGAAAGTCTTTATATATTTTTAGAATATTAAAGCAAGTGCACTGTTATCTACAAGTATTTTACAACGGCAGACGAAAGCCAAATAATCTCTAAAATTAGTGCACAATATTAGTGTACTTAAAGCTCTTCAGATTTAGCGTCTGGCGACCTGCTGAATATGTTACTCTTAGTGATTTTTTACAATATTATAATATTTAGAATTTATAAAACATATGTTTGAAAAATCATGTGTTATACGTGTTACTAATGACTACAAATATTTTTAGGCCAAATAAATGCGGTTTCAAAAAGAAATGCCCTGTTTATAGGTATATAAGCTATAGGTATTTTAGATTTTGAGTACTAGATAAAGCTCCTTAACCACAAGTTTATCCAAACAAATACCTATGCACATAATGCTTTGAGCCCTTGCACGTGGTTATTATAAAATATTAATAAAATCAAATTATGCGATGCGTGGGAATGTCAGGTTCGTTTTACCAGTGAGGAAGAGATCCTGATCGATGCCTGCTAAAAAGTCCGTTACGGGCCGCTATGTCTTTTGTATTCACGGTTTTTGTGAACGGAATGATGAGATTTGATACTTGACCAATTTAATTTACAAAGCTCATTGAAAGTGTTAAAAGAAGAAAAAAACGGTTTTACAATGCAATCTTTTTTCTCTCTTTTTTTTTTTTGTTAATTTCAATTATTATACTATTTTAGATAAGATTAAAACAAAATATAATTCTATGTCCTCTCGCTCGCTAAATAGGGCATAGTAGTAAGGCTTCGTGGGAAAGTAACATAATTGTGTCAATTTCTGCTGGAAAGTAGTCATACGTCCTTTTTTAAGGGTGAAGATACAATATAATTGAGATTTCAAACTCAACACGCCTTGAAAGATGCGATGAGACCTTTACAAAAGTGTAGATTGGTAACCTTATCACACCAATGCAGTCGTTTGTGTATTCGTTAAACCACTTATCTGTTAGATTTTAACAATACTATCAAATTTAATGATTGGGTAATAAAAGTATTAAATATTGTTCTTTTTGTTCAGATAATATATTGATAAAAATAACTTACGTACATTATTTACAGCTAAACTATGTACAGCTGAAATAAGCTATTATTCTGCATACTAAAAACTCAATTAAAATTTAATGGCTGGTTTTATTTAAAATAAATATACAATTCACAAAGGAGTATAGCAGTAAATTCAATAAAAACAAAAATAATAAGCAATGAAAGTATCAAATCTACCTAGTCGAAGTACGGTAAACGCTAAAGCAAAGTCAAAGAAGCTACCCTATTGTTGTGTAATATTTATTCTTGCGTAGATCTCAAAGGCAGTCTTCGAGGTCGGCCATTGTCACAAAGTTCATGGGAACCGGCAAAAAACGGGCTTTACCTTTAGGGACCACGTAGTAACGTACTAAAGTGAATAAGCAGTTTTTCTGTATTCTCATATGCGATCCACGTGTTCAAAGATTAGGACTATGTATGTTTTCTATTTTGATAATCTCTCGGTCCTATGCAAAGCGCTCGCGGCCTTACGCATTTATTTTTTGTATATCAAGTTTGCTTTTGTAATTAACAAAGAATGTCACTAGCATTTTTCGATTTACGTACAGATGAGACAATAAAACATTTTAATATTTCTGCCCCAAAGATTAAATTGATTGATGGCTTAAGAAGTAAAGTCACTGTAGCTACATGAAAACAATAATCACAAGATACAAAAGGATTTGCAAAACTTAAAATGCCAATCCATTGATTTAACAAATAAAATTGAATGTCTTCGATTTGGCGAGATTTCAAGATCTGGATCTCATGTTGGAATTAGCCATATTACCAAAGAGAGCAGACAGAGAAATTACGACGGTATCAATCCCACACATGTACGATGGCGCTGACGCCATACGGTATGCGCGGTACGACCATATGGCTGTCGGGCCAGATTGTACTTAAACAAAAACACTTTTCAATTTTCTGGTAACAAACAATTAACCTATTTTAGACACTTTTTTTTCCTTTGATCTACTTTAACTAATTCTCAAGAAAACAGCCCTGTTTCACGTAAAATTCGATCAATATTATCTACAAAGTAAATATGTTTTTTTTTTATTGCTTAGATGAGTGGACGAGCTCACAGCCCACCTGATGTTAAGTGGTTACTGAAGCCCATAGACACCTACAACGTAAATGCGCCACGCACCTTGAGATATAAATTTTAAGGTTTCAGTACAGTCACAACGGCTACCCCACCCTTCAAACCGAAACGCATTACTGCTTCACGGCTGAAATAGGCAGGGAGGTGGTACCTACCCGTGCGGACTCACAAGAGGTCCTACCACCAGTAATTACGCAAATTATAATTTTGCGGGTTTAATTTGTATTACACGATGTTATTCCGTCACCGTGGAAGTCAATAGTGAACATTTGTTAAGTACATATCAAAAGTTAAGTATAAGTATCAAAAGTTAAGTCAAAATTACTTTTGAAATTCGTTTACTTGCCATTATTCATTTGAAAATAAAACTTTTTTTATTTATATGGCAGTACCTAATGGCAATATCTTGTTATAAAACTTTGTAACACAAAACACAGAATTTATGCTATGCTATGACTAAGTAAATAATGAGCACCTATGACTAAGAACGAACCAAGTCTGATGAT